TGGGGGGAGGGGGCGGGGCGGGGGGGGCGAACACCAGGTGCTTTTTCTTCTTTTTGTCTTTACGCTCATTGTTAGCCATGGGTGCTTTTAAATACAATGAGAGGTTTTGATTACTGCATAAGAATGATATTAAATAAGAGGGGATTTTTACTTCCATTCAGCCTGCTGTGTTCCGTCCCCTGTGTTTAGAAAAGCATTGTCGGGGAAGGTTTGGGAACAGAGTGACGCCTTTCATCCATTTCCAGGTCTCATTAAAGGGTCACATACACTACTGGTCAAAAAGTTTGGAATGATTAGGATTTTTAATATCCTTGAGAGAAGTCTCTTATGCTCACCAAAGCTGCATTTATTTGATCAAAAATGCAGTAAGAACAGTTACATTGTGAAATATTATTACAGTTTAAATATTGTTTTAAATGTAATTTATTCTTGTGATGCAAAGCTGAAATTTCAGCATCATTACTCCAGTCTTCAGTGTCACATGATCCTTCAGAAATCATTCTAATATGCTGATTTGCTGCTCAAGAAACATTTCTTATTATTATGGATTTTAAATCGATGTTTAGTATTGATGTTGAAAAGTATAAATGAAAGGGTTTTGCTGCTTAATATTTATGTGGACACCGTGATACACTACCATTAAAAGAATTTTAAAAATTATAATAATTTTATTTGCATTTAATTGATCAAAAGTGACAGACAAATTATATCGTTGGGGAAAAAACGTTCCATTCATCAAAGAATCCTGAAAAAAAATCAGCATTTTCGCAAAAACATTAAACTGCTTTCAACATAAATTATAAAATTTATATATAAAAAAAATTATAAGAAGAAATTAAAAACAATAAAAAAAAACATTAATAATTGGGCAAATCAGCATATTAGAATTATTCCTGAAGGATCATGTGACACTGAAGGACTGGAGTAGTGATGCTGAAAATTCAGCTTTACATCACAAGAATAAATTACATTTTAAAATATATTAAAAGAGAAAACTTATTTTATTTTTGAATTTTGAATATTTCACTATTAGTTTTATTATATTTTATAATCAAGTAAATGCACCCTTGAGACTTAAAAAAAATATTTAAAAAATCTGAATTATTCCACATTTTTGACCATTACTGTAGGTCACGCTAACAGTGTTCTCTCTTTCTTTTCTTTCACAGGCATACATGAACCGCAGTCCAGTCCACCAGCTCAACGGCTTCGCCACCACAGGAGATGGCAGCTTGATTATTTTCGAGACTGCTTTATAAAAGCCCGTGAAGTGCCTGATGTACACAGCGCACAGCAACGCCCAGCATCCACCTCCTGCGGAGGGCAACGGGCACAAGTTCTGCCTCCTCGCCCAAAACACCTGGCTGAGCGGAGCCAGAGACACGTGTATGCGCTCAACACTCAACGCTCACGCCAGAGAGGACAGAGCTGCAATCACTCCAGAGGACTGCATACACCAGCGTTCTGATTTCTCCAGTATGATGGCGATAGGCTAGAGATTGTGCACCACTGTATATTATGATTGTGCCTTAATGTGTAAGTGTAGTACCAGGACTGCTAGGGGCCAAAGAAATAGCTTGCCTTTGCTCAAATAAAATACTATGCTATGAGCTAGACTAATGTAGTTTTCCCAGTGCCTTTATACTACATGAACCATAATGGCTGCTGATTCTTACAGCAACAGTAAGGTCTTATAAATATTAAGACAATATTGTACTGAGAGGGCTCTAAAAAGTCAGTAAAAATCGTTTTTATTATTATTTTATTATTTGTGATTCTGACACTTCATCTGCCTTAATCACTTTTCAGAGACAGCTAGTAGAAAAAAAAATTACAATCATTTAATCATTTTGTAATGCTGCAACAACGGCAAAGACATCTTGTGCAATACAAACTTTACTTTTGTGTTTAATGTGGCCGGTAAATGTAACGCTGTCCCTGATTTCCTTGAACTTTTAGAAAAATTATCATTTTTATGAGTATAACACCAGCAGCTTTTCTCTGCTGTTCATTGTCTTGTATTTTTTGAATGCTTCCGTCTTTATGGTTTGATTTTTGATTTATGGAGAGGTCAAAGGAGAGCCAGTTGCAGTACCAGCTACAAAAGTTTTTTGTGAAATGCAGTTTAGCCCAACAGCTTTATTTAAATTAAACAACCAAATTCAGTGTTTTTTCACTTCTTGGTTATTTGTTTGAGGATTAAGTTAATGTTTGTTGTCATATCCCATCTGGGTTTGTGTTCTGTTTAAATTGACAACATGGATTTAGAGAATCAGTGTTTACTGTTCAAACCTTTTTTGTGCTTCAGATTTTTTTTTTTTTTTTTTTTTCTTGAATTTATTTACACTAAAAAATTTTTATCTGTGATAAAACAGAAAAGGTACTGGCAGTTCATTAATTTTACGTCAACCTTAAAATGAAGTGAAAAATTCTAAATGCTGGAAAAGCACCTGTAAAAATATACAGAAAATGTCTTCAGCTTTGTAAAAATCGACGCGTTTCAGAAAGGCGGGACATAGAGGAGAAACAAGAATGTACAGTATGTGGAAAATAATGTGTTTTTTTAACCTTAAACCGCATAAACACATTTCATTACACCAAATACACAAAATAATGTTCTTTTTAGCAACATCATATGACCCCTTTAATCGTACATTTTACCATATTTTTACAGATTTTTTTAGTGTATTTAAGCGCCTTTCACTTTTCAACTTAAGTAGTCTAACTTTGAAAACTCATGTCTTATTTTCCAGTCATTTGAGTTCTGTTTAGTTTTTTAATTCAAGAATGTGTGCAAAGTTAATCACAAGTAGCTTTTCCACAAGCTGAGGTCAATACTAATACATTAAAGATATGGTTAAACATCTATCATAATGTAATGAAATAGTTTGTATGTGCTG